GACTAGAAGATATTCTTTGTAAATGTCACTATTACTATCGCGGGAGAATTTACGGTTATCATGATTACACAAACTGTGAACCGTTTGAGTTGTGAACGTCAACACTGGAAAACATTTGTTTTCCTGTCTCTTTTGCCTGTATAATGATACTTAGTGTTCCACATGCTCTTCCTGAATGACGGTCCTCTGTATGGTCACATATAGGACAATAATAATTTATTTTTCAGACCTTACTTTTACAATAGGTTCCCTTCCACTCTACTGGTGTAAAATGTGGGAACATAAATTGACAAACTGTTTCTTGGGTTCTGCTTTTTCTATGTTTGTTTGAAATGTTCATAGTGGCAATTACAAAAAAAATAACCAAACAAAGTGAAGGGTATGTAAATTAGATTTTCACTTTGAGTAGTGCTTATGATGAAATGTTTTTTATGCGAATGCATGGAGTAGCCAGTTAATATTCAAATATAAATCAAAATTAATTTCGAAATAGACAATTGTGAAAAGTAGTGTCTTCATGTTGTTACTGTTAAAAAATATGTTAAGGTGTTTGGAATAATGGAGAAACAGTTTTTAAGGCTCATCTCAGGAGTTAATCTTGATTCTTACGAGTATTTATGGCTCTTACGAGGTTAATTTACGGTGGTGCAAAAAGTAAATCTAACCTTCATATTTTACCAGTGGGTGATGGAAGTTGTTTGTACTAGTTGGTGATTGAAGGTGAAATGAAAATTTGAACAGGTGCCAGATTCGAACCACCGGGTTTCTGGTCCGATGCTCTACCAATTTGTTTGTTTGCATAGACCAAGCAGTCTTGATGTTTTTGCTTCAGTACAATGTCTTTCGTTTCACAACCCGATTTTGACTCAAAGTCTATATTATCTATATTGATCTTCCAATGTACACACATTTAAACGAATTTCTAATCAAGTAGTAAACTTGAAACTGACTTGAAATAGCGAAAAATGTTGTCATTCATTTGGTTCTTTTTCTTATCGACTATCAGTGTGATGGGAAATTTTAAGCGTTTCTGTTTGATACTGGACTAGATTATCCCTCTATTTGAAAATATAAAATTTATTTTCAAATGTTGAACAAATTGATTAGTAACCCTTGTCCTTTTTGCACGAAATTTTTTCCTGCTTATTTTTGAATTTTAAGTGCATCTAAATTTGTACTGATAAGAAGTTTGTACTTATATATCTACTGTACTGAATCATCATTCGTTTTGAATGCACTTAATGAATTGTGATATTTTTTTGGTCTATCGAAAAATTCACTGAATGATATAGACAGCAGTGAAGCCTTTGTCCTAGATTGAAAGCTGATTATGATTAGCATACGTTTTGCACCTGTCAAAATAAAATAACGCTTTATAACTATCCTGTGCCAGTTCCTTGTTTAAGGATTAGGAGTGGAGTAATGATGATGCTTTGACCACTTTATTTACTTGAGAACTTTCATCAGTTTATTGGAGTCGCTTGCTGACGAAATCTCAGTTCGGATATTAAAACCTCCGTTTGGTACTCGCCAACTTTCATCATCTAATGTTAGTGAGATGTTCGACTGCCTATTAAAGTATGAGAACGCTGCACTGCAGCTCGTCCTGTCCTACTATACGGCTGTGCGACATGGTTTTTGAGAGTACAAGATATGAAAAGATCGCAGGGTTCTGACCACAGTTATCTTGGCTGCATTGCTCACGTATAACGGAATCATGGTGTGGGCAATGTTGGGGTTAGGCGATGGGTACTAGTCAGGGGAGGGTAGTTAGTCGGTCAGGTTGTGAACCTTCACTGACTGGGGTGTTTTGAATATGTGTGGCGCATGCTGAGCCACTGTTTATCTGGACCCAGATTACTATTCGGAGTGAGATTGGTTTGGAAGAAGTCTAAGGTTTGTCAGACGAAGACGCGGCACTAGACCATGAAGTGTGTAACTGTTGGTTTAAGCCATGTAGGGAGGTGTATACTGCCTGGTTGGGGTCGTTGAGATAATGGGAATCAATCCCAGTCAACATTTTCACATATTGTAGATCGCAATGAAAACATGGGGCAAAACGTGGGTTTGCGCGGCATTTCCTCGAGTTTGTAATCCTCGTGTTCTGCTCCCCCCCCCGGGATGCCCCATGTTCCTCGTGTTTTGCCCCGCACTTTCTATACCCCATATTTTGCCCTGCGTTTCCCCTCGATTTGCCCCGTGTTGGAGAGATGGTCCCGCGTTTTGCCCCGTGTTTCCCCGCGAAAATGTTGACTGGGAATGGTTAAGGATCCTTGGTGACATGGTGAATGGTAGGTCACAGTGGTGCAGTTGAATTCACTCTCTGGCGTTGTCTAAAGTGTGATCATTCTCACTGACCTTCATTTTTGAAATTCATTCCCTTTCTGTAGACTACTTTGTCTGTCTACTATGTTGTTACTTTTTCTGTCCTCTTGTTCTTGGTGTGCTGCTGTGAAGCAAAGCAACTCGAAGGAATATGGTCCTGTGTGAGGTTCTACTTTGATTTTGACTCGCGTTTCCATAGTCTATATATGCAAAGGTTTCCTGCTAGCATTCATATTGAATAGTTGTGTGACACGGTAGCGGCATTATTTGATAAAGTTTACAAAGGGAATGGATATTAAACACTGTCATTTCACCGACGAAGCAAGTTGGTACCAACCTTTGAATTATATTTATATTTATATAAATGGCATCCATTCGACAGTTTATCCCTGAAATTCTCAACGCCTGGTTGGTGGTAGTCGGCTTTAAGTTTATAGCCTACTGTGAATATGGACAAGTTAATGCGTGTTCTTGGGTGTCGTATTTTCTCTTCGTTTAGCCTCACTAGGTATTTTAATGAAGTGCTGCTCGTACAAAATATCAAGTAAATACAACAAATAAAGTCAAACTTCCTTGGCGTATGAGTTTTGCGTCTACCAGAACTATACTGCGTTCAAGTTCTTCGTTGATTCTTTTGTCTAGCTAATTAAGCACAATTTTGTATAGTTGGTATATTTTCTGTCTTTTGTTGTATGTAACAAGTTTGAATCATTCAAAATAATGTGAACTTGAAGTTTGAAGTCCACAATGAAAACCGATAGTTGGAGACGTTTGATATGTCTGAAAATTGATGTCAGTGCCACAGATGCATCTATATTCTATCTTCATCGCATATTTTAGGCTGTATTTCATTACTTGCTGTAGTCCGTTATTTTTGTTTTTGTATGACTTTCTCCAACGTTTGGTCATTATTCCTGTTGTCTAGTATCTTGATTTGCTTTTGGGAGGCATCATCATCATCATCATCATTATCAACATAGGACCAGGCATTACTGCGTAACGGTCCGAGTTGCCACACCTCATATCAGCACATCAAGTAAAAAGTCAGTGAGGTGAAGGATGAAGATAAGTGAATGCAGTCAAAAGAAATATAAAGTACGAGAAGAAAGGAAAGAGGAGTGACAAAATAGTGAGATTCGGTATAGCGTTGTTAAGATGAGGATAATGTGTGTATACATCTGCGCCACTGACTTCGTTTCTGAGACATATCACCTAGGGTCTCCAACCACTGGTTCCTTTTGTCCCGTGGACCCCAACCACCTAGTCTGCATCGTCCTACATGGCTTAAACCAACAGTCATGCAGGACGATGCATATTAGTTTGAACTGTTGCGCAGTAATACCAGGTCCTATGCCGATAGTGTCTAGCTAAAGATCATCAGCTAAAACCCTTTTTGAGTTCAGATGTAATACACGAACCTGCAGATATGAGGAATGCTGAAACCTTTAGATATGTAAGGTCCTAATTCAAAAACTGTAACGATAGCTATCGGCTCTTATCAGTTTCAAAAAAAAGATTTTGTAGTCATCATTGAATAGGCTATCACTCAGTTCTGATAACTGAACTCAGCAGTCATACTCAGGTATATTCATTAAACAGTGAGGCACAGCTATTGTGTATGATTAAATTTTGAGGGGGTTGTGGAGATTTGGAAATATTTCAAGTTGTTATTCATCGAAGACTGACATCAGTTGGAGGAACAAAGGAAACCTGGGAGCACTGGACAGCTGTTTCGTCCTAGTATGGGACGTGAGCTAACAGAAGTTGGAAATATGGAGCATTGGATTCTGACCCAGTGGCTCAATGGTAACGCGCTGGTCGCGGAACCTGAAGGTCGCGGGTTCGATCCCTGCTGGTGGGGTCGTGGGTGCGCACTGCTGAGGAGTCCCATACTAGGACGAAACAGCTGTCCAGTGCTCCCAGGTTTCCTTTGTTCCTCCAACTGATGTCAGTCTTCGATGAATAACAACTTGAAATATTGTGTATGAGTTGGTTACATTACCTAGTTACCCAAATCTCAATAGATGTGCTAGAGTTTGAACCTATGCTCCGCTAGTGTAGACCAGTGAGCCACGGAGCCACTTATACTCGAAGGTTAACAGATGACCATTCCTACCCTATTTGACTGCAACTTGGTTGCATTCCCTTTATTTGTGTTTTGATCCACGGCTCACAATTGTTGTGTGTGAACTTGCGATGCCTCTGCGTTAGCTATTACGAAGTGAGTTAAGATTTGTGACTTGTTGGTAGTAGTGGAACATTTAAACCACTTAACTATAGCTTCATCAAGTAAATAACTTCACTACCTGCACTTCAATGCGTAAATCTGAACAGATACAACTGAGGATAAAGTGCAACCACTAAACAACACCCCTGAAGTTTCGGCTATTTCTAGTATAAAGAATTTTATTCTCTGGTTTGTTCCAGCTGTAGTCGTTGTTTTATTATGGTTGTACATTTTAGTAACTTAGTATCTTGTGTATGGTTTTTGTTTTGAAAAGTGAAGAGACGTAGTAAAACAACGCTTTGTGTTATTAAATTACTATCGTATTAATAACCTGTTTATCTACTTACTATTACTGTCACCCTCAACACAACACGATAGTGCTTTCCTTATGCATGGTTTCTCTATCTGCTGTACGGATGCTCATGATCTTCCTGTTTTTACCTTCCAGGTATTATCGTGCTCCAGAGTTATTATTTGGCGCTCAGTACTATTCTTGTGCAATTGATACTTGGAGTGGAGGATGTGTTTTGGCAGAAATGTTGCGGCAGCATTGCCTATTTATGGGAGCTGACTCAGTTGACCAGTTGGTTAAAGTTATCCGTGTTTTGGGAACCCCCACCCCACAAGATATCGCTAGTATGAATCCGATGTATGGATCCTATAACTTCCCAGACGTTCAGTCTTGCCCTGTAAAACTATTTTTCCCACAACATACCCCAGCAGATTTGTTGGCTCTAATGAGCAAGATGCTAGTTTATAATCCATCATTAAGAATTTTACCATCACAAGCTCTTTCTGAACCGTGTTTTGATGAACTTCGCTCTATCGGTCCTCATGGTGTACTTCCCAACCGGGTTCGTATGCCTCCTCATATATTTGATCTTGATCCAGAACCTAATCCTAATCCTCCTACATCAACACCTGATGCGACTAATCCATCCCCTTATAACTGTTGGTCATCAGATCATCACAGACACAATTCCTCTAACAAGAAGTCCGTTACTAATGTATGTGATTTGTCCGCGTCCGACAAAAAGAATAGTAAACAATCATCGTCTAATCCTCGAGAAATTCCTACTGAATGGCAACGAAAAGGTATTTCATCTGCAGATACACAAATGGTTGCTTCTTGTTGACGTGCTTTATATTGTTTTCTACTTACTATCTATTTGATATGCGATTAGTACTTTAAAATGCTCTGCTAGTGTCCACTTAATGTCCAATGACAACTGAGTGTGGTAGTTATTGTTCTCAGCTGCCCGTGATGCGTGGTACTCAGAAGTTGGACATTGGATCTGCCTCAATTGTTTGCTAACTTCACAAGAGCGGCTGAACTAGCAAATGCACATGGAAGCTGCAGAGGCAGGCAGTAGTCTTTGTTTCTTGGATGGTTGTAGAAGATGGGACATAATTCAGTAAATGGAAATGCTCTTTGTGAGTGTCTCTTGTGTGTTGGGATCTCACTAACAGTGTCATCCTTGAATTCCAGTTTCAAGAAGATCAATTTCTTAGAAATTGTTAGCGTTGTTGACTTAGTCTTCGTAACTTTCATTTGCCTAGTTACAAAATTCCCTGGAAACCCATTCCTTCTAAGCAGGTCAGGATAGTGGTTAGCTCTTTCACTGTAGCACCATTAGAGCTAAGCATTTCTCCAGGTTTCGCTTGTGTTGGGGTACGGTACACATTGGACATCAAGTGGATACTAGCAATGCATTGAAAATTATTTATCGCATACCAACTAATTTACATGGATTACATATTCGTCTACTTCACATAGGAGAAGCGGTTGCAATTTACATTTGCAAACTTATCCTTTATATTATTTATGCACTTAATTACCTGAGCAGTGTTGTATGAAAGTTTTGCCCTGCGCATCCTTAAAATTAGCTTCTACTGCTTGGTTATTTGACGTTTATCAGCAAACAACAAACTCTTGTAATGTAGTGAAACCCCGACATCGTTGAAGTGTACGATGGATGCGCCTGCTCATAGTGGTATAAAACTACAGAGGGCTTGAAGAATCAAATCGCAAACATGTTTCCGCTTGGTAAGCGCAAACTAAATAGTACTAACATTAGAAGCTAGCTGACGTTTGACACGTGTAACTAGTATTTACTTAAGTTTAGATTGCACAAAGACATGAAGTTGAAATAGATTTTACTGATTATATCTGTTCAGAAATCCTGGTCCACGACTTTCGAAGTGTTGCCTTTATCAGTAATCTATCAGAAGTCTTTGTTATAAACGAAGAAACTTGGGATTCCCCGGTGTTGAATTCCTCGACCTCTGTTGGCAGATGGGTTCCTATGCAGATATCTGGATACTGGTCAGATATTCACTTTGTTTTAGTTTTACTTGGTGGCTAGTGGCGGAATTCAGGACGCGCCTCTCGTCCTATTTCGAACTCATTAGCTGGTCGTGCCTACCCACCTCAGTGAGTTGATGGTGTTCCCAGTACCCATCACTTGAAAAGCCAAGACGTTATTTACCATACCACTGAGTCTATATATTGATAAAAACGTCGATATTTATCAATCAGCAGGAGTTCAAAAGACAGGGAAATTCTGGCCGGTTCGAGGATTTAGGATGGTAATAAGGGAATCAGGAAAATGAATGATAAACTTACTTTTGAACACAATTCAACTTCTATATTGCTAAAACTCCAGAAATGCATACTAAAAGTTTACTTATACGTTTGGGGCTTCTTCCGAATTCTGTAATAAGTCTTGTGAAATTGTTTATTCACTATCGACTAAATATTGGAGGATGAAACTTTTGATTGATTGAGTGAGAAATGTCTGGAGGTGTTCACTTTGAATTTGGACAATCTGTCTATGCCCGCGGCCTGTAGCATCTATCTCCACGGGACCAGGTGAATCGAATGGGTCGTTTGTTCTTCGCACAAATGTTTTTAGCATTGAAGAGCTAGTATGAGTCATTCTTAGAAATACGACATAAAATATTCTCTCAACGACTTTCATTAATCTATGTTTCAGAATGTTATTTACTGTTTCAACATTGAAGTTTATATTCGAAAGTAGTTTCTTCCCATCTACGCTGGCATATGTTTTAGGGACACGTTTTCGCTGTATATTTTTCTTTTATCAACAAATCTTTCTGGGTATCCATTTGTAATGAATGTATACCTCAGAAATCCTGGTTCGTCTGCCAATGTGTCAAATGTACGAATTCTCTGAATTCGAGATGAAAGAAAATAAGTTAGATTTCTGTGAAAATTAGTCAGTTGTTCATTCCGTGTAGTTTTTCTGTAATTGGATGTTGTAGGTGATTCGTTTTCGGTTGTTTTTATTAATATCATCAAGAAATGTATATCCTTGAATGCGGTCGAGAAATGATATTGATTCAAGGCACCTAGTATGGTTTGTAAATCTAAATCCTTGTCAAATGATGAATGTGCCGTTAGCATATCTTCTGCAGAGTTCAAATTGTTTGTTGTGACTGGACATAGTACAGATAGTTGCAATTATTGTTGCAGTCAAATGTACATTGTAACAATAATAGCTTTTTGAAGCACTTTCTCAGTATCCCCAATATCCACTAGCATTCAATTTAATATAGTTACAGTGGATCTGTGACTTATTGGTTTAGGGAGATGACTTTCAATCATTGAGTCACGAGTTTGAACTTCGTTCTATCTACCAAGATTTCGGCAGCCCTCATACACAATAGGTGTACCTCACTGCTTACCGGCAAGGTAGCTTAATGGATTTCATTCAATGTAGTAGTCACGCATGAGACACTTCAGTAGTGGAGCATTTGAAAATGATGAAGCAGTCGATATCAAATGATACTGCCAAAAAGAAATACGCGAAAGTCTTTCTTCGTGTTTAGTTGCATATTGATTGGGTAATAATTTTAATACACTAAAATAGCGATTGGAAAGAAATGTGTCAGGCTGTAAGATTCAAGTAAGTATCTTCTAACTCTGTCTGAACTGATACATGAGCACCTAATTCTTTTGGTTTCAATCGCCTAGAATTTCAGTATCCAGTTGTATCGATGATACCTTCATTGAACATTGATAGAGCCTTAGACAAACAACTCGGTTGAAACATGGACATTTTGCATGGTATATATATTGTTGGTGGGATGTGCATTTTACACTTGTGTTTCCTTTATATGTTGATTCATCATCACTTAGGTCGACCAGCTGGATCGAATTCATCCGAAAAATGTGGGTCAGTCGGTGGTACAAACAGCCAACCGAATGCTGGATCGAAATCTAGTGATATCGGCAACACGAATGGTGTAAATAATACTAATGAAACTGCAAGTAAACAGCAACAACAACACCACAGTCGAGTAAACAATATCAAAGGTTCAAACGATGCAGCAGCCACAATATCTGGAACAGAAATAACAATAACAACAACAACAGCTGATATTGGCACGAGTAATCAGATGGCAAATCCAGACACTTGCTGCAATGATAATGAAAGCAGCAGCAACAATATTACTGCTAGCGTACACTTGAAATCATTTCTGCCAACATCTGAACGAACAAATTTAAGTGAAGTACATTAAGTATTTGTTAATTGTGCATGTAACAGACAATTTTTACCCCTGTCTCAGTCGATTCATTGCCTATAAAGAACAAAATCTCATCGTACTTTCACAGTCTCAGTGTATTGAGTCATTTCATAGTGGTCGGGTTGACCTCGTGCTCCTCCTCGTTGTCATAACTACACTGCATTCTCGTATTGATCAGTAGTTTACCATAAGAAAAACGCGTATATATATATACGATGGTTACCGCCTACTATATTATTTCTATCCATTCTTTAGCTCTCCGCATCCACTCCCTCTTATTTCTGTGTGTACACGAAGACAACTAAACCGAATTCTTTGCTTTGTCTACAAAATAAAATAAACAAAGTTTATTGGAAATTTCTTTCTCTATGTGAGCGAGATGTTACCATGTTTATATGCATACATTGCTGCCATCTATTTGCCTTTTCTCCTTCTTTGTTGTTCTTGTTGATCTGATTGAAATCAGATAGTATACACTTCTTTGTGTTATCCCCACACACGCACAAGACTGTCTATCGACTATTGTTGTGGTTGGTGTTTTCAGCTAGGATTTCTATCACAACTATGGATTATAGGTAGTGTAGCAGCATCCCATTGTTACTATTAGGAACAATTGACTCCGTTTTTATATCTCTTTTCCGTGTATGTGTATATTTTTACACTTATCTGCTTTATGTGTATGCGCACAACTGTATCTCACCTCAGCTATCTACCATTTCTTACTATTGTAACCCCTACTCCACTAATCACTGTGTAAATATCTTTCGTTTTTTCCCCATTCAAATTGTAATTTTGCTTAATTGTATTTTTGTTTTTGGATCTTTTTCTCTGTCTGTGACCTTGTCTCTCGATTGATTCTTACTTATATATATATAAGTGTAAGTGTAAACATTTATCAGTTCTCTTGTCTGACTCGTCGTCTCTCCTTTCTATCTATCATTAGTTGGTTGCGCAAAAATTATTTTTAAAAAAAAAGAATATTATTTATCTTGACGTTCTTTCGTTCACATCCTCTCTCTTATCAACTGTAATATCCTCATTTTTCTTTTGATTCTGCTTCACTCACCGTCGTTAGTTATACAAGGTGTATACTGCCTTTTTTAGATGCATGGGATACTTGTATTCTTGAAGATTATTATAGTCTTGGTTATGCGTTGTTATTCACAATTATTACGGTATACACTGTATAATGATAATGAACACCTCATTGAACATAAACATCAGAAATATTGACTTGTGTTTCATTTTTCTACTCTGTTCGAGTTGTTGATGTTCTCTTCAAAAGATATTCTCTGAGTTTTGTCTCTGTTCGTGTTGGTAGCAGATTCTTCAGTTGTCTATTGTTGGGGTTTTTCCCTCCCTTTGTTGTTAGAAAACATTCTTTCCTACTTGCTTCTTCATTCTTTTGCATTTCATGAATTCTCTTCCTTCCATTTATTTTACTAAAATACTCTTGACTTCTTTGTATTCCTACTGTGATTACTTACACAATTTGTTCTGAGAGAGGGTCTTTATGGAATAGAAGTTATTGGTTGTGCTGTCACAATACTAAAGCGATATAGGTGACAATTGTGTCTACCCGTGTTTGCATCACCTTTATACGACTCTTTATCTGTTAATATTTGTGAAGGTGATCACTCTCTTTCTGCCTCTACGACGTTGTACCTTCTAACCTCATGTTCATGGTGATTTCTGAAAGATTCTCCCCAACAATTTTGTCTTTTTATTCTCTTAACCTAGTCTATCTCTATACTGGAAGTATTTTTCCCTGTAGGCAAAACTACTTCCTCAGTTTGTTTGTTTCCTAGGTTACTTTTCCTATATTTTATTTTTCGTCACCTTGAATTTAGTATCCAAATACACATTATATAGTTTATGCACTGCTGTTTGTTGTTTCTAGGCTGGAATCGTGACAGTTGTTGTTTACTACGATTTCGCATCTGCATATACACATACATGAACTACTCAAGATTGGTTGTCTTGCTGTTTTATGTTTCTTATTTGTTGTTTGTCTTTTCCAGTATCTTTTCCATTTGTGAGCTGATTTCAAAACATGCACTTTTTTCCTCTCTCATCTTAATTCCTCAGGAGTTGATTTGTCTACATCATATATATATATATATATATATATATATATATATATATATATATATATATATATATATAAATAGTATACCTTAGTAGTAGTGATAGTAATAGTAGTAGTAATCCAGCATTTTAAATCCGAATCTCTCGTTCCGATCTCTATAGTATCAGTTGTTTTTGTCTTATATTATGTGGCTATAATTTATTCATCTGTGTAACACATTGATCCTACACACACGCAGTATGTTTTGGTGAAAAAGAAAAGCAGAAAATGAGTTGTTTGGCTATCTTCTTATCATTCTTTTTCATTAGTTGGTTCACTCCCTTGTGTTGCTGTGGTACGATCACCTCGGACATATTCACACATACTTGCATACGTTGACTTCATTGTTGTCATTTATGCTCTTCGTATTCTCCTCCTTTTTCATTGGCTCAGCATTAATGATGATGTAGATGCAGGCGTATTTCTTGTCATTACAATGTCGAATTTTTATTTCGGCGTTATTTGTTTGTAATGATGCGAAAATACACACCTAGCACAAACTGTTACATATTCCTTGTAACTAGGTCTATGCTCGAACCGTGGAGACTTTTTGCTCGTTTACAATATATGTACATATTTAAAAGAATGTTTTGCATCACAACCCTGTTGCACTTACTGATTGTCGGTGTTTACAACTTTTCGGTAGGTGTTGTTATCGTTGTTCGGTGTTCATCTTCGCTGTTGGGCGTTACCTCCAATGCTAAGGTTGTCATATCTTGAATGTCAGTAAGAATAAACTGTGCTGCTGTAACTCATTGATGTAGGTAATCGACTAGTGGGTCATGGGTTCAAACCCTCTTCTGGATACCGAAATTTGAACAAACAGGTAGTTTTTAACCATCGAAATAGATGTCTCATTGCCTAGCGTACGATATCGATTTGCGTCGCACGAATAGATGTGACCGTTTGTTATATCAAGCAGCAGGTTTGATTTAGCTATTCTAGTTGTGACTGATATCGAGTAATTTGTCTACTTATTAGGCAGTAGTTCATAGATTTAGCTCAATCTTGATGATTAACATTGTTGCGAATTTTCAGCTCATCCTTGCAAGAATGGCCGAAATGAAGCTGATTTAAAGTCCTTGTATGAAATAGGTCACACGTCAGCTCTACCCCTTGAGTACGTGAAGTGCCTAGGCGTATTTGATTAACCAACTAAAGACTCAGTATAATGTGCTTTACTTGTGGGGGTATGTCGTTAAATGATATTAAAGTGAATCATCTGTTCTTACCTGGCTTCAGGAAGTACAAATCAAGTGCGGATCAAATTGCAACGCTACGCATCATCATAGAACAGAGTAGAGAATGGCAGTCAACTCTACCTCAACTTCATCGAATTTGAAAAGGCCTTCGACAGAGTTGACCGAGAAGTAATTTGGTAGCTACTTCAACACTATGACTTTAGTTCCACAAACCTTTATGAACCTCATTCAACAGCAGCTGTTATTTGTTATATGATACTAGATGCCAAGTGATTGACAATGGAAAGCTGAGTGATGCCTTGGAAGTGGAGTGAAGACAGGTAAGACAATATTGCCGCCTACTATCACCGATGATGTTGCTGGTTGTGATCGACTCGACTGGATCATGCAACAAATTGTGAGAAGATGGGCATATGCTGGCTGCATCGATGAAAAGAGCCTAGAAGATTTGGATTTCGCCGATGCTGATTTATGTCTGTCTAATGTCTTGTGGCACAAACTCGAAGAAGTACAGGCGAAAACTAACAAGTTGGCAGGAGATGCAGGGCAGCGAAGAGGGGACTTCCTTCAAGTGGATGTAGAGAAGACAGAGGTGATGAAGATACCCAACTAACAACAACAAGCACCAATCACCATGAATGGGAGACCTAAAGGAAGTAGTCTCTTTCATCTACCCACCCACCTACCTACCTACCTACCTACCGAGGCAGCATCGTTTCAACTGCAGGGGGTACATGCACAGATGAGGTTGTCAAAATCAGGACGGGAAAGACAGCAAGACAGGCCCTCATCAGTCTGAAATGAGTGTGATCTACTTCAGTACACTGCACTGCACTGCACCTCACTGTACTCAGCATAAAACGTGGACGAGATCTGGACTTCCAACACTAATTCAGTCAAGTAAGTCAGTGCTTGTATATGGTTTGGGAACTTGGCGCGTCACGAGAAGCATTTCCAACAAACTACAGACATTCAGGAACAGCTGTCGCCTACGTTCGATATTGAAGATGGGATGGTCATAAAGAATATGCAACAAGGACCACCGGCCTGGTAATGAACCAAGGAAGCAAGAACCTATCACCCAACAAATATGCACTAGAAGGAAGTGGAGATGGATTGGGTATACACTGAGAAGACCGTTTTGGGACATCATGCGCTGGGTCAGGCCAGGTCAGACCGTCGAGTTGAACGCACATGGGAAAAGATGAGTTGGGGTTCTGAGGGTGATATGGAGGAGATTGTGTGAGGAAGAAATGAAGGGTGATGGGTAGTTGTGGAGCCAGGTTGAAGAGAGTGCATAGAACAGAGTGAGATGGCGACTTGCTATTGAAGCCCTATGTTCTACTGGGAACTCAAGGGACATAATAATAATCGTAATAATATCTGTTCTTAGGAGCTTTAGGTGATTAAATATGTGCAGACAAACTTCTAAACGAACTCTCGATTGTCCCTTTTTAATAAAGGGGTCTTATATGCTCTCTCGGTTGCGCTAAATATAGTTTAGAAGTTGTCATATTTCACTACTGTACAAAGAAAAAATCCAAACTGTAGCAGCTTGTGCAATATAATTGCCAACGGATGTAAGTGTGGAACTTGTGTTCTGAGTTTTGTAGCTGATAAATACACAGACATCAGTCAGGATTTCCACCTACAGGCATGTTGAAAGCACGGTACCATTGGGCTGAAGTTCACATATTTTTGGTACTACCTCGCTCAATATAACACGAACCTAGTGGCTGAATGGTGGTGTGCTTGCCACTAGACTTCACTGCTATGCGTGCGCACTGCTGAGGAATCCCATACTAGGATGAATCAGCTCTCCAGCACTCTCAAGTTCCCAAAGGTGATCAAAGAGACGTCAGTCTGGGATGGATACCAGCTTCAAATCAACCAATCAATCTCAGTAAGCCACCAGATGAATTAATCTTTTTTCACTTTCCCAAGTGTGCATTTAAACTAGTGTGCTAATTCCTAGATAACTTGTTGGACAACCTAAGGTCATTCAGCTGGTCTTCCAGGAATGTCATGATTTATTGGTTTTACAATTTGGTATCAATAATTTTATTGCTTGTATTATCCCGTCGTTGAGAGGACCGAATTAATCGGTCCTCTATTGGCACATGGGATCCTGCGCGGATGCCTCGTTATTGTCTGTGTTTTAATTATGTAGTAATAATGGATAGTGGCTAGCAGTGCAGTCCAGCTTGACTCGCGTTTTGTCCCATTTGAGACTTGTCAGCACAAGAAGTGGCTATTGTGACTTGGTGGTCCAGTGGATAACGCTCTGACGTTCGAAGCAATCGGTTCCAAATTCGAGTCCTAGTGGAACAACATCGCTTACTAGGAGGCAGGTACATACAGCTGACGATTCCCAAGTAGGAAGAAATGCGCGTCCTGGATCCCACTGCTAGTCACTACCCGTCAAAAATACATATTTTGTATCGATGTTTAGCTGTCTTGAGATTGTTTAAACTTTCGATGGTATTTACAAAGTCATCTCATGTTGATGATAACATCAGTATTTATTGGCTTCCATAAATCATGAGGCTGATCTATTGAAACTGTTGGATTCCGACTAGATGTTTTATTTATCTAAGGAATCGAACTAGAGAGTATATACTACTGACTGATTGATACGAGTAGTTGAAGATAATCTGACATCTGCAGTGCTCACCCAATAGCTAGATTGAAGTGATTTCGATAACTAATGGCCGTTTCGACTCTTGAAAGTCGACTTACGAAAATGAATGGCGCGAAAACATGTAGGAAATCATCACCTATCAGGCGAACCAGCTCAAACGTGATGACAAGTTATGAATGATGGCATTGAATGAAGGCTGCGCTATATCGCAGGCAGACAGGTATGGAAATGTGGGCCGTTGGGTTGCGATCTATTGACTGAAATGGTCGGCGCGAAACCTGAGACTTTTGGGTTCGATTCTTGATGGGTACGTTCTGTCGAGGAGTTCTATACTGGGACGAAACAACTGTTTAGTGCCCCCAGGTTTGTGATGGTTTTCCAACTGATTCCAGTCTGTGATGAATACCAGGTTGGAAACAAAGAAAGTACGTTATAATATATTATAAATGAGACCATGGCAAAATGAGGGATTGAACTTACTTTTTCCGTATGCAGGGTTTACGCCTAACCTGTTGAATTTTGAGAGTCTCCGCCTTGTAAAAATTGTGAAGTTGCACCCTTAAAAAATTGGAGAGAATAACTCTAATGGAACTGTGTCAACGGAGATGACCGGATGTTCAAGTATCTAACTTTGTTCATTTGAACCCACACCTTGGCAATCGAGCAGCAAAATGCTCTGAAATAAGCATAGTAATTGTACGATGTTTTGTACTTCCAGTGTAACTAGTTCCATAGAAGTAGGTACATTTACGGATACTCGTTGAGGTGACCGAAAGCGGTAGCTTCTCGCTGACATATCTGCTTATCGATTGTTAGCTATAAAAAATCGATCTATAGTTCAACAAGAAAATATCTCTCTTAAAGATCTGGCAAGTTTGTTTTCCCTAAATACTGATACGGTATCACCTTTGAAGTTCACTTTTATGAAAATGGTTTCCTCCATCACTTGGAATTTGTTAAGTATGTTATTTCAGTTTCAAGTTTCCCTCGAATAATTTACAGGTATAACTATTTTGAATAAGTAGCTGTCGGAGTCTTTCTAGTTGACCATCAGTTGTGTCTTCTGTACCAATCGGTTTGATTCTCAAAGACAATAAACGTATGAAGCTCCCTTTTCTGTTCAGTGGCATCCCACTCTCAAATTATATATCTTGTATATCTTTAGTTTCCT